GGGGCCACGAGGGACAATCAAAGTTTTATATTGTAATATACAGGATTTTTATTCACGGGCACAGCAAAGCCATAATTAATCATATCTACATGGAACCATCCTCGGGTAGTGTAGATTTAATTTTGTCCCGATAATCACGACCAGAGGGGGGACGTAAAGGGTAAAAAAAAAAGCTATTGTTAGACTAAGAAATACGCAGGCAGCTTTGTTAGTATAGATTCATGCAACCAAATTCAAGTTTGTTGAAATCATTATCCCCTATATTAGCCACAGTGCTCAGGTGAGCGATGTGGCCCATGAGCCTCTTGTTTGTATTGATGTCAACTAACTATGCTCTTATTTTATGGTTGCCTGGTCTTTAAAGAGAAACTCAGAACTTTGATGACTGAGGGACCCCCTAGCTCCCCTCCTAAAAAACCTTTTATCTTCATCACCAGCCATCAATCAACGATCAATGTTATCAAAGATCCAAGGTACATTATTCAAGTCTCTTTTGACATCATTTTATTCAGTCTCTGACTTTGTTTTAGAATTAAGATTGTCAATTTTTTGCTAATTAATTCTTTATCAATCAGAGAACGTCCTCTTTCTAAGCCTACTAGAGGAAGGATATGGAGATATTGAACAGTATTCAATCTCAAAGTCCGTGAAATAATACAAATTAGATCCAGAGCAAACATAGACCTCCGAAACATCAGAGGTTTTATTAGGTGTCATGGAGGAGTGAGCATCCCCTGCTGACCAGTCACAGCACGCAGTGTGCTCCTTGTCATGATCGGAAGAATCCGTCGACAATTCAATGTGGACATAATAGCCTTATAATTAATATGAAAAACGTCAGTCAGCATTTGATTCCACGAAAAAATTGTATTCGCTGACAAGTACATGGTATCGACCATTGAACTTACGAAATGATGACTTTAAACGAGCCTGATGATATTCTTGTTTCATCAACTTGTTTGTCAATTATTTACCTCTTTTAAGAAATTGTTCATACATAGAGCATGCTCTTGCGTTTCGAATCAATTGAGATATATATACTCCGTATGCAGGTGATGAAGGTATATATTGCTGCATAAGTAAGGGAAGCTGATGATAGAAAAAAAGTCATCACGTTTACCACTTTATATACGTTTATATCTTTGTTGTAGATAACCATTAACGTCTTTTTCAGGTAAAATATCTAAGTATGAAACAAATGTGTCAGACTCTCTGGTATGTTTTATCTCAAGCTCACCAGGATATGTCGTATCGACGTAGGAATGGAAATTACCATTGTTAATTGACAATACGTCGTTGATATATCTAAATGTCGAGTTGAAGGCCACAGAAAGTGTTTTCTTCTTTTCATGCATAAGATTTTGCACAAATTCTGCTTCATATGAATACAAAAATAAGTCTGCTAATAACGGAGCGCAATTGGTACCCATGGAATTCCAATAGATTGTTGAAAGACCTGTCAGGTCTCCAAAACCACATAGATATTGTCAATCAGAAACTCAAGCATCTTTTTGATGTCAACTTCAGAGTATTCGTGTGTTTAATCAGAATGTGTTTTAACTAAATAATTTTGCAAATGACCAATGACCAGGTAAAAAAATTACAAGTTCCATTTTTTTCGAAAATACAGCAGTCAGTGATTTCAGAATGAGGAATGGTTGTGTATAAAGTTGAAAGTTGAAGCTTTATGCTGTTGACTTTGGTAAAATCTTGTGATTTCAAATTGTCCGAAAGTTCTTTGAAAATTTTTCACATCTGACCCACACCACTTCTTGAATATATTGTTGCACAGTACTCTTGAAGTTTTTGCATCACTTCTGTCAATATCTTAGTGAGGAGTAACGAAGAGGCTTGGCTGAACATTGACTGGAACCTGCAATGTATCTTTATTTGTAAGGATTTTTATGAAGTTTCTACTCAATATTTGTACGGTAGTTCAAATTCATTTTGGCTCTGTGGAATATTAAAAATATTTAAAACTGACTCACATGATTTCAAAGAATTTCTTCCTTAGAAAGGGAAGTATGAGTATACGTAGGATTAACACTTGTAGAATTAAGTTCTTCTAAAATACAATTTATTTAATGAGCCTTACAAACGAAGACAATGTTGTTACCTGCTTTGTCGGCAGTGACCAATACGTACTGATTATGTAATCAATCTATTTCTTTTTTCACTTCTAGATTACTGAACACAGAAAAATAGATGGTTTTCATATTGCCCTTCAATCTTTTAATACGTGACTATAACATGGATCTGATACATTTAATCCATTTTGACAAGGTGTCAACGTCTTCTTTTTTCATATCTGGCCCATTGTCTGGCGTAATTTTGCAGATGACAGAATTCATGATATTTATGAAATTCCGACGCCAGTTGAAGGATCGGGGTTCCCTATATTTAGGACCTTTTAAAATAAATGATCTAAGGTCCTCATTATTAACTATACTTACGTCACCTGTAATCGCGGGTCCAGCAGGACTATAGTTATAGGGCGAAGAAGAACATGAAAACAATGGAGGATTAAGTTTCAGATTCTCGGTATCCAGGCCATGTAAAGTTTTTTTTTGGTAATTGAAAAGTTTGGAAGCAATGGTCGATGTATATTTGTAGGAAATACAAGGTGCAGTTTTTAACTTAAAAAGAAGGTGGAATACAGATTTGGACCCTTTTGTGATTAAGAATATTACTTATATTGACCGTGTCAATTCCTTATTTGCATATTGAAGATTAAGGAAAAGAAGGATTGTTTGCTGCATTTTCTTCTGTAAAATGTGCGGTTTTAAGAAGCCTATGATTTGCAATATCCATAATCACAGATCCGAGACTAAACTCTGGTGTCGAGGAATCAAAAATAGACTTTCTGTTTTTCAAAAAAAGACTGTAAAAGTTTCAAAGGGACAGAGTAAAGTTTGGTGTGAGTATGATGTAGACCTCACTTTGTTTTTTAAAGTAGAAATGAATCAAAAGTGACGTCGTGTATTGCAGGGTTATTGTACGACCGATGCCCATGGCTATGCTTACGTCTCTGTGTGTGGTTCAAATGTCCCATCACATTTACATTATTACCCTGTGGACTGGAAAGATCTCCAGCACTATCGACATTGTCATTACATCCATAGGGAGCTATCCCTGAGTTTTCTAATCCAAAATTCTTCTCTTTTTCTATGGAAAGGTGTACTCAGCAACGGACTATTTGTGTGGTGATAAATCTTTTCGAGAATTCTAACTTTCATTGAAAAAATAGAATAATCAGGTAAATAAATAAATAATTGAATAAAAGCAGCTGCCCACCGTGATTTATTTGAAATCGATGACCTGATATTCTTTTGTAAAACGATCCCTTGGTTTCACCAACATAAACAAGTCCACACAAATTATATTCTATTCCATAGACAACATTAGAAGATTTGCAGTTCAGATTCTCCCAAGTTTTGGTATAGAAGCCCATTGATGAAAGAAGTGTTAGTTATCAAAATGTCACAGATTTTACAGTTTCGCACAGAACATTTTGAAACAGAAGACATGGATCGGAAAAGGAATAATCAAATATATCTGTAACAGAAACCTTGTATTTCTTCAATATTTTGTACGATGTATTAATTGGTTTTTTTCAAAACTGAGAATCTGAAGACTGTACATATGACATATGTTTAATATTCCTGAAATTATCATCCCTGAAGCTTATTGATTAGAGTTGAAAAAACGTTTCAGCAAATAGCCAAAAAACCCAAATTTCAATTCATTCTAAATTCATTCACAATAATTCACTGATTATTTTTTTTTGAAGTGTTGAAATGAATATACTGTAGGTGAAAATTAGCCTAAAATTCAATAATCTGTTAGGAAGATTTATCTCCTGTTTACATCCCTTAAAGAAAAAGATAAATTTTGATGCACAAGTATATGAAATAAATAACTCAAAGATCTTTTGTGTAAATTTCATTTAATTTCATTAACTTTTAGTTGTCTTAAAGGTCTTACGCAAGGATATAGCCAATCAAAATGAACTCGGTCAAATGTAGTTCTACATATATAGAGACAATTTCTTTTTTCATTTTCGGCAACCTTTTTTAGGTCTACAGTTTTAATTTTGGACTTTTGTAATAGGAATATCATGCCGTTGACAGACTTGTGCCATTGAATTAAAGAAAACTCTTTTTTATGTGCGCATGATGCAACTTCGTGGATGGTTTGTGAGCCTTTTGTTAACATCTGAAACCCGCGTGAATACGCGTGTATTTCGGGGTAGGTATGTTTGCTCTCAGTTTTCTATCTTAAAAGCCTCATTCAGGTTTTTTTTTTTTATCTCAGCATTAGTCTTTATTTTCTATTTCATTTATTATCTTCTGAGGGTCAACCGGTAGTTAATAAATAATTTAATAAAAGCTATATAGTAACATATAGTGATATTATTTCATTTTATGAGACCTTAAGGCAGGCGGAGAGATAGGAAAAATTACGATGGAATAAAAACTGTAAACCGACTTTTATTCGCGTGTGAAAAATATTCGCTAGTTTTACGACCTACTATAAATCGCGAATATTAATCGCCGTGGACCATTCATGATGCTTTGTTTTTGTATAAAATGTTTCCTTGGATATGGATATAACGAACAATATTTAAGCTCCAAAGTCCATAAAACAATACAAGATTAGAGCAAAGGCACTAGACTGATTTTAAGGTCTGATAAAATTTTAATGTGTGCCCCACTGATAAAATACAGGTTTTTTTATTTTTTTTTTATGTTTCAAAAAATGTAAATTTACTTTAAAAGTAACTCCCACGCAACTTACAGTATATAAGTAATATTTTTATGGTCCTTTAGCGTACATAAGGTCTTCTAGATATCTTTTTTTACGCACAAATATTTAATTTTTATTTGGAAGAAAAAATCTTTCAAAAAATCGCAGTTTTATATTTTGTTTCCAAATATACAGAAAAAAATAACTGCTTACACAAAGGAAAATTTCCTTCTTTCATACTACGAGGCCATTCATTCTTAAGTCACAAAAATCAGAGTATTTTGACTCAAAATTAATGAAATTTTCAAAGAGAAAATTTAATGATGTTTGTTATTCTTCAACCACTTAAACATTTGAATGATATCTGTTTATCACAGTTTCCACCCTCGGTAATATAAGAAAGCTGCGCAGAAGAGGCAGATGCTTCTGATTCTGACTTCACTCTTCTTCTAGGTCTTACATATACCCTAGCTTCAACTGCATCAGAGTATTTTCTTACCTGTAAAAGTGTTTCAGTCGCATTTATACGAGTCCTAAAACTTTGTTTTTCTGAATGAAAATGATGTTTTTAAATACATATTCATTTACGTTTCTCTTAGATCTACCAAGGTCGCCGCCAGTTGGTGTTTCCTGACTGTTTTGTCTGATATCTGAAAAAATGTGTACAGTGAAAATAATTTCTTGCCTGCAAATAATAATAATAAGAACACAAAAAATCAATTATCATATACATGTACAACCATATGCCACTTTAAAGTATAAGAGATGCACATGTGTATTTCAAATATATTATTAATCATAAAGAGCCCAAATGCCAAATTGATGGTTTTATTTACCTGCTACTTTAATATTATTTTTAATAAATCCTTTTAATCTAAAAAGTATGCAATTGCAAATCGTTCATTCATTTATGTCTTTATTATTTGACACAAATGTTTTGTAATGTCATGTTACCTTCTCTGCACACAGGAGCCTTAAAGTCAAACTCTGTAATTCTGTTCTTCACTTCATCGAAATCTTCTTTGATAGCGCTTGAATCAGCGTTCTATGGAAACAAAGTAAGTAAGAACAATATTTTAAAAAATCACAGATTTATTCCTTGACATGAAATTCTATGACTTCACGCTGAATGTAAGTTATATTTTCCCTTTTAATCTAGTCTAATAAAGATAGATTTGAACTGAATTATGGTATTGAATGTATATCGATCATAATTTGTAACTACCAGCATTTTCCAGCTAAATCGTGGAAAAAACATATTGATCGAAATATACATTGTAATGGACACACTAAAGTTGCAAAGGTTTATTTATCACATTTAAGCACATCTTAATTTTTTTATGAAATGGAAACAATTTTTAAAGAAATACTTGAGTGCATGTGTGCAGGGTACAGCCATTCCTATCGTGCATGATGAAAAAGATATGCAAGTTTCTTCGGGGAATATGCAGGAATTATTCGTTAAAAGTTAAATAGATATGTTTAGGGTAAAAAAATTGTCATATTTTTAATTTACTATCTCTTATTTTGTCAATGGAACTTTTTAACAGTAATTTTTAGTAGTATCCCAAGCATTTTAATTGGGAAAGTGGTAAACACAACACACCAAACATGATAATGTTAGACTACATAATGGTGCACAGGAGAGCAGTTTTCTTTCATTTAGATATAATAATTACATCATTTAAAAAGTATATAAAAATATCACTTTTCCTTTAAGTTAGGTTTACAAATGGGTGTATTCAAAGCGGAGGCTTTTTGATCGACTCCCCGGGTAGGACAGAACATACGCTCAAACAACTATTGGCAGAAAAAATCAAAGTACTGAAAGTACTGTTAGACGGAGGCTTCATGTATGAGAGAACACAAAAGAAATATATATGTCATACATTGCTGTAAAGAATATTATGAGAAATAATGTGTAGTTTTTTTTTCAATTCAACATTTTTTTCAAAGGATACTCCAATATTCATGAGGTTGTTGGAATATTATAATTTCATCTTTGTAATGTAAACTTTGCCTTGATTAAAGTTCACTGTTATTTAGATGAGATACTTTCAATATTAAACCTTCCAAA